GTTGTATTTGTTTTATGGATTTTATATAGGCTTTGCTAAGCAGTAATTGTTGATCTTTAAATTCTGCAAAAACAGGTTTGCCACATGTTTACTACAACGTTCTCGGTAGTTTTAAACGTTTATCTGGAAGATGTTTGATACACCTACGTCTGAAGACCTTTTACAGGCTTTTTATAACGCTTTTAGATGTTTTCCTAAGTGGCAGAAACGGATAATTATATTTTTTAAGTTTTCTTTTGTAGTCAAGCCGTTTTTTATGTTAAGAGATGCATTTATTTACTGTTCGCTACTCGGCCTAATTCCTGAAGTTTAGTTTAGTAAAAGTGGCAGAAGTCAAAGTTTTTTCAAAACATGATAATGAAAAAATAAATAAAAAAATTTAAAAAGTGCAATTTAAGTGAGAGGGGAAAAATTTATCAACAGTTGGTTTTACAATGGCAGTACTCAGATTTTTCTTTCTTTTTTTTTGTAGCATACGCTTTGGTGACATTTTTAGACACTGGTAATGCGTGGCGCGCATAATTTGAAGCTAGAAAGCAATACGAAAATGCTTATACAGCCATTTGACTTTTTTTAATTCTATCTTTTACTGGGGTTTTCCATTTCGTTGTTGGAAGGCTTGTCCCACAAAAGCTGTAGAACTTTGATACATGACCAGAGACCAATTGCAGTTTTCTTGGTTCTATAATAAGCAGCAGATACTAGGTAGTATTAGATGACTTTTTTCACGTACGGAGCAGAGTATTCCCCCCGTCGTAGCAAAACGTGCTTTAATATGTCATTTTATTTTGGATATTAACTTGAGAAACTATCGCTTATCCACTTTGCAAGTTGACCTTAGAGCGCGCCAGTGCTTTCGAATTTCAATCTTCTGGCCATTTCAGCACAAAACTGTTTCAACCATACTTGAAACCAACTTAATGCTCACAACCCGTAATTTTTAGTTGCATATTAACAGTATGGCTCTGATTTCAAGAGCAAAAAGAGTTACTAGAAAGTGAATTTCTCACAGATTAAACTACGGCAACTGCAAAAAACTTAGATTTTGGCTTGTTGTAGCTATATTTCAAATTTCTTGAATCAGCGCGTTACGAATGTTCTTCAGAAGTTTTTTGTCTTATTTTTGATAGCTTTATTTCTTTTATTTATTTACAGAATAATATTAGTTAGCTTTTAGTCACAGAGGAATAAGCGGCATTTAAAAAGAAATAATGCTGAAACAGAAAATTACAGAAAACTGGGAAGTAAATTTTTAAAGTTTTCAAAGTTATTTTTCTGAGCAAGATCTTTTGCATAAAATTTTTGTGCGACACGACATTAAATTTTCTTGCTAGAGATTTATGGGAGTTAGAAATTGTGAAATAAAATTACAGAATGAACTATATTCCTACAGTTGTTGCGATAGAAACTTTACTATTTCATCTGAAATAGCTAGGTATCAAGAAGGCCATCAAATTTTCACATCTTTTCCTAATTAGTAGCAGTCGATTGAGTAAAAACGCTGTAACTTCAGTGTGTCAGACTGAAAGCTGAATTCTTTTCGCTTTAGAAGCCTGTTGCTTTGAGCGTCCAGAGGTAGCTGCTTTGTAAGCCTAGCTGCCAGCTCTAATAACTTTCTGTGTTCAGTGAAAATATGAAAATAGAAACATTGATGATGTATAATTTTCCATAAAATGGTTACATGCTTTTGCTCGTCGGCAGAATTTGGATGGAATCACTGGTTGGAATTTGATAGTTGTTTAAAAAATGCTTCGGTTGTGGAAAAAATGTTTCAAATGGTTTCTTTTGCTTTACGAGAAGCTTGGAATGCAACATTTAATATTTTTGTTTTTCTATTGGTACTAAAAGGTGGGATGCGTGGATAGATTTTTTGCTTAGGTTGACTGCTTTTCTCGACAAGAATATGTTATAACTACATTTGTATTATTTGAACTTTATTTTCTATTTGTTGTTCATTCATGCTTTTCTTTCGTTGATGTTTTTTAAGATGCTATTTTTCCCGAATTGTCAGTGATAGGCATTGAAGAATCTATTCTTCAGTAATACTTTTATTTGCATTTTTTAACGTTGCCTTTTTTCCTTCGCTATATATATATATATATATATATATATATATATATATATAATATATATATATATATATATATATATATATATATATATAAACAAAAGCTGTTTGATAAACCAAAAAGTTGTAAGGATTTTGGGGACGACCACAAACAAAAATACGCACTCTTAAGCACAGCACCTATATATATATATATATATATATATATATATATATATATAACGGGTACTGTCTTTTTCATTTGGCCTAACACTGAATAAATACTGCTTTGTCTGTGAGCTTTTGGTTGTTTTAAAATTGTTATTGGTTGTTTTGGTGTAGTCATTAACTTTTAGCGCATCAGATTCAGTACAAATCAAGTTTGGGAATTAGAAAAGTTTATTCAAACATCTAAATTAGGGTTTTTACCTGTGCTACGCACTGTGTCTGTGTGTTGTGCGTAACTTAGGAATAAGTTTCAGGCTTAGAAAACAGCCTGGTTTCCAGCTCGTTATATTTGCCAACTTCTGTATTTTCCTTCATCTTGCTTGGCGTTGAACTCATTTTCTTTAATGCTGGTAATAATTGAATTGATAAAGCCCGTATTTGTTTTAGCGGTAAATTTGGATGGGCAGTATTATTGTGCGCAATGACGAACAACAACGCTGGCACGACGAGATGGGACGGTCTTTGGGTAAGTACTACATGTTTTTTCTTGAACTAAATTTGGAGGAGGTTTAGTCGTAATATAGGGTGCGCAGAGAGTATGCACAGTAGGTGACGCTGTAATTTTGAAATAGCGAATTCTTTTAGTGAAGCTTTCTTCTCGGTAGTTGTATACATTTTCTGTTTGGTCACGTGGTCTTACTTTTGTCTTTGCTAACTTTTGCGGTTCGTTTTTCTTTTGACTACTCCTTACTAATTATAGAATAACCTTAAACACTGCACAAAACATCAATTATTATCCTACTGAGTTACGCATTGCATGTTAGTATATTTCTTTCTTCTATAAAATCTCTATGAAGAGTGATCGCGTTTCCAGTTCCTATCACTTAGCTTCCAGTTTCTATCACTTACACCGGTTTCACGTTCTTCTAGTTTCTTTTCTTCTTTTTTCATTATTATTATTAGGAAGTGTGCAGTATTTGTCAAAGAATGGCCTGGTTCTTGAGCAGTTTTTTAATTTTTTAGTAGTTTCGGCTACGTCTGTCATGTTTCTTTTATTAAGTTAAGGCGATCGTTTGGCTACCGGTTGCTGCAGTTGTTTTCCAGTTTATCTTCTGTAATTTCGTTCTCAAATTTCTCGTTGCATTATTGATTTTGTAGTCAGAGTTTCTTCTGAAAAGATATTTCAGCGGACTAGAAAGAGAATATGAATCTTTGCTTTGATGTTATCTCGTCATTTAGTACTACTTAAGAACTTCTTATTCGGTACCTGTTAATGGCATTAAGTCAGTCTAGTTTTCTTCCTTTGTAGTTTTGTCTCTTTTGCATTTAAATTAACACAGGCTGACAAATGATCGGGCCCCACATTTGCCGATAGCTTTTTTTATTGGTTTTGTTGTACTACGTTAACAGTTTTGACAGTCATAGTGTGTGATATAAATTTTTTTTTTGATTTAGTAGGTAATAGAGGAGATAGCTGGAGGAATGGCGGTTTGAGAGTCGTCTTTGAGGTTGTTTACGCTTGAGGTTTTTAAAAATCATAATTATTCTGAACGACTTATTTATCACAGATGTAGTATGGAAAAGGTTTAAAGTGTTGTGTCTAGATTTAGACCTTTTCTCCCTCTTTTTTTTTGCTGTTATTCTTTCTGACTATTTGCAACTGTATTATTTTTGTTTAATTAGTTGAAGAAAAGTTTACAAAAGAGTCGTTGAGGGATTTTCCGGCAAGTTTTGTTGCCGCACTGTTTTGTTTTCAGCTAGAAATTTATTAAGTAATTAGGTTACTAATCCAAATGCCATTTAAGTATCCAATATACTTGTTTCTTGTTTAACAAGGTATTTTCGATTGCTCTACTTATTGCTTGATATTTATTTTAAGATTTATTTAACAATGACAGCGTATGGCGTTTTTAAATTGTCTTTTTTTTGGGTTCAAAGGCAGGACGAGTGTAGCCACTGTGTTTGGGTAGTGTGCGGACCACATATTTGTATATTCATTAGTTCGATTCTTTGAGTGGATTTCCCCTTGCCTTTCTTTTAAAGTTTCGTCACTGACCAGCGTGTGTGCGAATCTCGATACGTTTCTATTTATTAGCAATTGTCGTAATTGTGATATATCGATTGTAAGCTACTTGCCACATCATCATATTACAATATATCTCTACTTTTTTTTGGATTGAGGTTTTTTATCTTATTCGTTACTGTCGGCAGTTCTGTTTTATCGCAGGAGATCTGGTGTAAATTGCTGTAAAGTCTATCTTGGTTTCTGAATGAAATTTTATTAATGCTTGAGCAAGTTGTACACCGCTTGCATAGTAAGACATTTTCTTCGTTTGAAAATGCTTCAACGCTTCATTCAGTGCTTTATGGTGGTAGTTCAGCTCTTCTTCACGACACCTACATCCTAGTATGCATCGGATTAATCATAATTCTTGCTACGGTTTTTTTTTTTTTATTTTTTGCTCAGCTAGTGTGCATTAGAGGAGGTAGTTCCTTGAGCCACACTTTTTAAGTTTAATCAAATATCACTTTTTCATTATTAGAAATATTTTCTGAAAAATTGAAATTGACTTTTGACTACGGGAAAAAGTAAAATTTCAGTAGTATTAATTATGAACAGGAAGTTTTTTTGAAAGGATGAAGGATTTATTACTGTGTTTTGGTGTAAAGTAGTGGTTTATGTTAATTTTTAGGATCAAATTGATGCTGTCGCGAACTATACCCAAAAAGGCATTGACCACCTCGAGAAATTTGGTGTTTTCTTGAAGGAACGTGCCATTATTGAAGAAGATTATGCTGCGAAGTTGAGGTTGATTTAATGGGTTTTTTACAGCTAGTTAAGAATTACACCACTGAAATAGTTGACTAAAGACTTAAAAAATGTGACTGTGCTGCCAAAAATAATTTGAGTTCAGCGGTTTCTTACCTGTAATCATTT